AAAATTCTGTGAGCCTCAAATGTGAACATATACAATTTGAATATTATTTCTTTATGAATAGTATAGAGATTAATGAAAGTTCAGCAGTTAGAATACCAAAAGAAAACAAAATTTCTCCTTATTAAACACATATTTCGAAAGAATATAAAATAAATCAAAAAATCATTTTAGCAAGATTGTGAGTGATGTTATATTCATTCTACAAGTCTCGCTCATATACTTTCACGACAACATTGGTCACACTGAAAAACATGTATATAGCAGTACTTGTCTAATACGAGATCGAATGTAAATAAAACTATCGTATTCACATATGGCATCAGTAGTCAAAAATAAATAATAAATTCTTTCTCACTTATAATTTTAATTCAAATAATGACTATCTTATTAAACTAGCAAAGTAACCAAAGGCTAATTATATTTTGAATATTAATGCAAATTTGAATTAGAACTGTCTAGTACACCATACGACTAAATTATCTGTACGAAAAGTCATTATTGAACTGTTTCATTCATTTTTGAATTTTCATAATACGCATTTCAATACTCAACTATATTCGAATTTCAATTAAAAAAAATTCGTAATAGTGTTCATTATAATCATAAAGAAAATAAATCGAACTGATGATGTGGTTGTTGTTTTTTTTTGTTCTTGCCAGCAAGAGAAAAAAATCGCTCTCAGAAGACCAAAGAAAAATAAACAATGTATGAAACAAGGTATCCAACGCAATGACACTGACATCACGGTATAGATGAAAAACAAACGAAAGTTGGAAAGAATAACCAGAAAATAAATGACGTTGTTGTATTTTTTCTCTTTCATTCGTTATTGACAATTATATTTTTAATTGAAACTGAATATGTGAAGTTTGTTGTTTAGTGTCAACGAAAAAAAAAAACAACACTCACATTTAATATCGTAGAAAAATTTAGAAAAAGAACACAAGGCAATGACTATACGGTATTGATCATGAAAGTAAATGTTGGCAATTAATGCAACGATCTTTCTATACTCAGAATATTGAATAGAGACTTCTGTAGTTGTCATTTAGTTTGTAAAGTTATTTTGTAACCACAAAGCCTAGCTCTCGCATTGAGGCAGTTGATTCCAATCTTCATCAATCTATTCATTAATATATTCTAAAAGACACGATAATCATTCTAAGTCATCTTTGAAATATAAACATCTATTACGGGTTATTAACTTTTCATTAATCAATAGTCATGAAAATGTAGGCTGTCACATTATGGCAAATGTTCTTGTCAATGACGTTATAATAAAAAATGCTATTTAATTAGTATCGAGAAAGTGTGACTTTTACAAATCTTTCATGGTTTTCTGTCTTGTGGATTCATCTTACGACACACCTGATCTTCTCGATGACAATCTTGTCTAGAAATAATTTTAGAACTTCAAAAGCTCTAATACTACATGAAGATCTTCTTGATAATACCTAAATGATATTTCATGACATCTTCTAGTATTTAGGATTCTTTGCTTAAAAACAATAATGAATTCCGTGCATCAATACGTTATGTCTGCTATCATTGTTGGTTATGATGAATATTCGCATATGAAGTCTGTTTCAGGTTCGGTTTTACAGATGTTTCCGAGCAGCAGTATAATCCGATTGAAATATGAAATCTATTTGTCATATTCATCTAGAGATGTAAGCAGATCACCCGCAGCGCCGTCAATATAGTAATCAACCAAAAAACTAAGTACTCGACTTTTGAAATTCCTCTATCTTCAGTTCTAGTTTCGGCAAGATCTTTCTCTCGTTTCTTAGCAATCTGCCCTACATCATCCTATTCTTCAATTTTCCAAATCAAGAAGACTTCTTGTCACATAAAAAAAAAGTGAATGCTCTAGCGAACTGAATCTTCAGCATTCACTCGATTTTAACGATCTTTTCAATATGATGTTTATCATACTTAGTCTATACGTTTTTCGCAACATTAGATACTTGTGAATCAAGAACCATGAAGAAAAAATGGAATGAATATAATGCAACGAACAGTATCGAATTGATTTTTAAGGTCTTTCGATTGATTCAAACTCGTCAACATGATAGAAGAACATAGACAGCCAGTCGTAAAAAGCTTTCGATGAGATGTCAACACATTGAAAGAAAGAAGCGAATGAAGAAAAATGCAGTCTTACTTTTCTTCACCAGTTCTTTGTTTACATATTCTATCCTTGCAAATGATGGTATCAATAATAAAACTGCATTAATGTATGTTTTTGTTTTGTTGGCTCGTTCTTTGTTAATCTATTTTTGTTTGTTGATTTTTCTTGTTTGTCATAGTTACATTTTCAGACGAAACCTAACAGAATCATGAAATCGATGTTACGGCCAGTTTTGTTTCTATTCGCGGAACAAAGTTCTGTGTTTGTGCAAAGACATGTGACATGCACAACAATCATAGTGTTTTTTTTACTTATATCTTCAATATTACTGTCGATTTTAGTTAAAAAAATAACTGCAATAATTTTCATTTGTTTTTTAGCTGTATGCAAACATAGATGACTCTCCTAATAGACATTTTCTCGTTGTCATTGTGATGCACGCTAAAATTGTGTGAATCTCAATGGTAAACAAACACAATTTGAATATTATTTCTTGATGAATCATATAAAGATTAATGAAAGATCAGCAGTTAGAATATCAAAAGAAAGCAAAGTTTCTTTTTATTTTACACATATTCCAAATGAATGTAAGATATATCAAAAATCATTTTAGCAAGAGTGTGAATGATGATACATTCATTCTTCTAGTCACACTTGCACACTCTCAGAATGTCATTTACCTCATTGAAGAATGTGTCCAGATGTGTCCAGAATTCAATAACCTGTTGAAACTTAGGTAATAGATCAATGCTAGTGTTTCAAATGAAATTGACATTATCACACTTTGTTTACTCACACATTGTAACGACTGCAGTGTTGTCTTAAATATGAGTGTGGCTGTGAGTGTCAAAAGAACCAAAACCTACACCTACATCTTTCTGAAAATTCCTTAGGTTCCATGGATTCCAAGAGTTTCGTGAGTGAAACTGTACTGTTGAGCGTTCCAGGAATTTAGAACCCACGGAATCTGACTACTGCTGCCAAGCAATGACTAATTTTATTCAGAATATTGGTTCGAATTTGAGTTAGAACTATTTAGGAAATGACATGACTAAAATTCATAACTTCAATTATGAGATAAAACTTTTGTTTGCTGGCTATATCTATAAGAAAAACTCTTATTAAACTGTTTCATTCATTCTTGGATTTTATAATACATACTTCAATGTTTAATTATATTCTAAATTCAGTTAGACAACTCCTAATTACTTCAGGAATCACAGAGCACAACACATATTGTTGAAAGTTAAACATAATGTGAACAGTTTGCTTTTCTATTCAAATCACTGGCTAATGATGTTTCAGGACATGTAACAAGGATAAAAATGGTTATTTGATTATTGCTTCAATCAATATTGGATTTATTTTTCCTGTTGTTTCGTTCATACTATCAGCATGTCAATCATATGTCTTATGAAAAAAATAAAACAGACGATGTCTTTTTTTCTTTGAAAAGAATCGATAAAAAAGTAAACAATCAATGCAACATGGTATCCAACGCATTGGTTTTCAAGTGATTCTTATGTAGATGAAAAGCAAACAACAGTTGGAAAGAATAACAATACAATAAATGATGTTGTTGGATTTTTTTCTCTTTCATGTGTTGTTGACAACCATATTTTCAATTGCAAATAGGTAGAGTTTACCCTTGAGTGCCAACGAAAAAAAAATGTACTCATATTTGACGTCGTAGAAAAATCTAGAAAAAAAAAACATCCAACATCGAATGTATAAATAGAAAACAGTGGTCTCTATCCAAACAACAATTGATCATTCACAGTATTCAATCGTCGAGCAAACGTCGAAAATGAGCAGACAACGACTACGAATGGCTGAAAATTATCTGGTCATCTGGGTCGATGGTACTATTGACATGGCAAATGAAGATTGCCAGAATACACTCGCGCAATTGCGCAGTGTTGTTAATGAAGTCAATCCATGCACCACGGCCGACCAATGTATCCAGAAACTCCAGGAAACCAATGAGGAGACATCATTCGTGATCTCCTCTGGTACGCTGGGACAACAATTGGTACCAGATATTCATGACATGGCAAAATTAAATGCCATATACATTTTTTGTGGCAATAAACAACGCCACGAAGTATGGACCAAAAATTGGTCAAAAATTCAAGGTGTCCATACTTCAATTAAACATATTTGTGAAAAACTGACCGTTGCTGTCAAACAATGTAATCAAGATCAAGTAACGGTCAGTATTATTAGTGTTAATGAAGGAGGTTCTAGCGAAGATCTTAATCAGCTAGAGCCTTCCTTCATGTATACACAAATATTCAAGGAAATACTCCTTGATATGGAACATGATCAACAAGCTATCAAAGACTTGGTCACCTTCTGCCGAGAACAATACAAGGACAATACCAAAGAGCTCAAATTGATCGATGAATTTCAACGTACTTATCGTCCATCAAAAGCCATTTGGTGGTATACCCGCCAATGTTTTACATACAAAATGCTCAATCGAGCATTACGAACACTCGACGGTGACATTATCATTCGAATGGGATTTTATCTATGTGATGTTCATCGACAAATTGAAACTTTACATACCAAGCAAGTTAGTGAATATCATGGTAAGACATTTCTTGTTTATCGCGGGCAGGGATTATCAAAGGTAGATCACGAAAAACTCGTCAAAAGCAAAGGTGGACTCATTTCATTCAATAATTTTTTATCCACCAGTGTAGATCGTGATGTTTCCCTCGGCTTCGCCAGAGATGCCCTAGGAATAGAAGGAATGGTTGGCGTTCTCTTTCAAATGACCATCAATCCCATGGTCTCATCGACTCCTTTTGCTTCCATCAAGGAGGTTAGTGATTTCGCACAAGAAGATGAAATTCTCTTCTCGATGCACACCGTCTTTCGAATCGGTGAAATTCGAAAAATTGATAAGAAAAGTCCACTTTATGAAGTGGAACTCAAACTTACGCCGGATGATGACCAACAACTTCGTCAATTAACCGACCGCGTACGAGAAGAATCTTCGGGTAGCACTGGATGGTATCGAATGGGTAAATTGCTACTCAAAATTGGTCAATTCAACAAGGCCGAAGAATTGTACATGGCACTACTAGAACAGGCTTCTAACGACAGTGATAAAGCACATATCTATCACCAGCTTGGATGGTTGAAAGACGACCAAGGACAATACCAAGAAGCAGCTTCATTTTATGAAATGTCTCTCAAAATTGAACGAAAAACTCTTCCAGAAGATCATCCTTCATTGGCTAATACCTACAACAACATCGCTATAGTGTACAACGACATGGGTGACTACTCGAAAGCACTTGAATTTTACGGAAAAGCACATAAAATAAAAGAAAAAGCTCTGCCTCCGAATCATCCCGAATTGGCTATTTCCTACGGCAACATCGGTCAAGTGTATAAGAACATGGGTGACTATTCGAAAGCACTTGAATTTTACGAAAAAGATCTCGAAATCACGAAAAAAGCTCTGCCTCCGAATCATCCCGATTTGGCTAGCTCATACAACAGCATCGGTCAAGTGTATAACACCATGGGTGACTACTCGAAAGCACTTGAATTTTACGAAAAATCACATCAAATCCTCGAAAAAGCTCTACCTTCGAATCATCCCAATTTGGCTATTTCCTACAACAATATCGGTCAAGTGTATAACAACATGGGTGACTACTCGAAAGCACTTGACTTTTTCAAAAAGTCACAAAAAATCTTTGTGGAAACTCTGCCTGAGAATCATCCTGATTTGGCTTTTCCATACAACTGGTTCGGAAAAATTTATCGCAGTATGAAAGATTATTCAAAAGCACTTGAGAATTTCGCAAAATGTCTCGCAATATTTCAAAAAACGTTACCTGAAAGACATCCCAATCGAGCTATTACATATAGTAATATAGGTGATGTTCATCGATTAATGGGTAATTATGAAAAAGCACTTGCATTCCATCAAAAAGCATTAAATATTCAAGAAAATGTTCA